CTCCGATGGTCCGGCCCAGGTACGAACCGTATTGACCAGGGTGACACTCCGATGGTCCGGCCCAGGTACGAACCGTATTGACCAGGGTGACACTCTGATGGTCAGGCTCAGGTACGAGCCGTATTGACCAGGGTGACACTCTGATGGTCATTACCCTTCTTATTGCCTTCTCTCTCAGAGCCTTCACTGGCAGGTCAAAACTCCCAGAAGAGCTGATAGTGAGACCGAGATATGTGTAGCTGGATGTGTGCTGCAATGAGTTGTTGTTGAGGGTAAATATGTACCTGTTTCCCAGAGGTCTGGCTTTCTTCTGGAAAACCGTAACTCTGGTCTTGTCCAGATTGACTGTCAGCACCCAGGTCTGACAGTACTGCTCCAGCAGTGCAGGTTCTGCTGCAGCCCCTGTTCTGTGGGCGACACCAGGACCAGGTCATCTGCATAGAGCAGGAACTTGATTTCTGTGTCGTGTAGTGTGAGACCAGGAGCTGCAGACTGTTCCAACATTCCTGCTAATTCGTTGATATAGATATTGAACAGTGTTGGGCTCAGGCTGCAGCCCTGTCTCACCCCTTGGCCTTGGGTGAAGAATTTGGTCCTTTTGTTTCCAATTTTCACTGCACATTTGCTCTCTGAATACATTGATTTAATTATGTCATACGCTTTGCCCCCTATGCCACTTTGGAGTATTTTATAAAACAATCTTTCATGCCAAATCAAGTCAAAAGCTTTTTTGAAATCAACAAAGGAGGCAAAAAATTTTCCTTTGTGTTTTTGGTGGACGTGTTTGTCTAGCAGCAGTGTGTGTAGGGTGTAAATGTGATCAGATGTGCGGTGATCTGGTAAGAAGCCGATCTGCCTCTTGCTCAGGACATTGTGTTCGGTAAGGAAGGCCAGTATTCGTGTATTCAGGATACTGCAGAATACCTTCCCCAGAGAACTGTTCACACAGATGCCCCGGTAGTTGTTGGGATCAACACTCTTATAGATGGGTGTGCTCAGTCCTTGGTTCCAGGCCTCGGGGAAACATCTGGCTGTCATGATGAGATTAAGGAGTTTGAGCAGGGCTTGTTGCAACTTTGAGCTGTTGTGTCTCAGCATCTCGTTGTTGACTCCATCTTGGCCTCTGCCTCCATCCACTGTCTCTCTCTCTCTCCTCCTGCCCCTCACTGTCTCTCTCTCTCCTCCTGCCCCTCACTGTCTCT